GGGCCCTGTGCCAAGGCTTTTGACTCCAGGTCCTAGTTTCAGAACATGTTAGAATACAAATCCAACTTTGGTACATGATTATACTGAGAAGCGAGGAATAAGATCTTCTGCCTGACAGGTAATGGGACATCCTATCAGGAGTTGAAGTGGCTGAGAGGCACTAAAAAGCAAACATTAAAAAGGCGCAGCATAGGAGAGCTGTGCAAGCACTGAGTAGCAGAGGGGGATTCTAGACCTGAATGGGGCCACAGTCAGGCCAGAGTCAGGGAAACTGACATGGGAAGAGCATTGGGCACCTCCAGGCAGTGCAGACTCCTGCTCCCCACCCTAGGAAGCAGTTGGAAGCAGAGGGTGGTGCCTGCAGGACAGAGCACCTTCCAGCACTATGTCAGTGCATATGTGTTCCATGCTCCATCCTTTGTTCTTCAGGGTCCACTCCAGCCAACATATTCAGAACTGTCATGACACCAGCACCCCTGTGCTACTTCAGAATGGTATTAGAGCTAAGATGTGTGTCTTGTTTTTCATGGTTAAATCTAAGGGATTTAAATCTATTTCCCTATAGAGCCCTCTGAACAGGACTCGACCAGACACCCCGGCGGTTTCCCATTGAGAAAATAAGTAATACGCTGAAATAGCTGCTTTGGGTGGCACACCCAGAGCTGTATTGCAGTGAAAGCCACTGACTCCTTGTGTACCCCGAAGGTGCATCTAAACAAGTAAGTTCCTGTGCACTAGGCTGCTTTCTGAGGTTCTGAACAAAAGGTTCAGAAATTGAAATAACCCTGAATCATGCTTTCCTTTTCTCAGGAGGGGAAGTGACAGGTGGAGGCAGCGGTGTTTGTACTCTGAACAGGTACAGTGGAGTCAGGTTGTGTGTTTGCATGGGGAGATGTTATTGATTGTGATGAATTTCTGAAATCTGAGAATGCCAACTTTGGCCACATGTATCAGATACTCTGCACAGTATCACACCTGCTATGCCTGTTGCAGCCACCTACAAGAGGTCTATAAGGTAGGTGCAGTATACACTTAAATGACAAAGAAGATTTGGGGGCCCATACAGGACATGCCACTTGTCCCAAGGCACACGTCTTGTGAATGGGGTTGCTGGCATACAAACCCAGAATGTGTGAGCACTCCTGATGGCTTTTTCCCACTGCCACTCTAGGGATGAACGTCAAATGCTGAGACTGCCCTGTAAATCAGGATTATACCCATGAGCAGTAACATTCATGTTACTTACAAAATCCTCAACACAACACAAGAGGGGTGAGCCCATCCTTAAGGACACTTTTCAGAGAGGTCTCCAGATACATGCAAGTTTGGAGGAGCTAAGACTGAGGCTCTTGGTCGCATGCTTTCCGAGCATTAGGCAACTCTGTATGGTTCAATTACATGGTTCTAGAAGCTGCCCAAAGTGATCCAGTTAACCTGTTTCACTCTTATTTGGTGAGTACAACCCCTTTGTATCTCTTCCTCCAGATATTTGTTGGGGGCAAAGCCAGAACCAAAAAATAATGTAACCTCTTTTTTTAAATTTATTTTATTTATTTTAAATACAGAGTTACAGAGAGAGATAGAGACAGAGAGAGAGGTATTCTTTCCACTGGTTCACTTCCCAGATGGCCGCAACGGCTGGAACTGAGCCAATCTGAAGTCAGGAGCCAGGAGCCTCTTCCAGGTCTCCCATGTGGGTGCAGGGGCCCAAGGACTTGGGCCATCTTCCACTGCCTTCCCAGGACATAGCAGAGAGCTGGACTGGAAGAGGAGCATCTGGGACTAGAACCAGCGTCCATATGGGATGCCGGTGCTTCGGGCCAGGGCCTTAACCCGCTGTGCCACAGTGCTGGCCCCCAATGCAACCTCTTATTTTGGTCACAAATATTCTATTCAGGGGCAGAACACACACAAACACACACAAGAATTAAGAAATCCTTAATAGATTCCCTATGAGTCACATGCCAGCAGGCCAGAGAATGCACAAAGTGCTCAAAATACATCAAACTACTAGATCTGGCACTGCTCCTACAGTGATTTTTAAGGCAATCGTGGCATAGAAATAATTTTCCTTGACATCATTCTCCCCACATTCCCTCATCACCCTCACTCTTGGCCCAAATACTGAAAGTATTGTTTGAATGTATGTTTCCATGTTGATATCATTCTAGCATCTTTGATTATTTTTTGTGTCTGTAGTGTTTGGATGTGTGTGTGTGCATGTGTGTGTGCACATGTGTGTGTGCATGCACGTGTGTGTGTGTGTGTGTGTGAGAGAGAGAGAGAGAGAGAGAGAGAGAGAGAGAGAAAGGGAACAATCTTATTGAGGTTCTTGATTATACCCAATACTAATATCATCTGTTTTCTGCATTAGTAAGGATCTATCTAGACAGTTTTTTTTTTAATAAGCCAACAAGCTTCAGTGTTTCTAAACAGAGAACTGATTTATCTTTGGGGGACAGTTTTCTGGTATATCCCAGTGGTAGACCTTATACTCTTCATGTTATCAATTAGAAACTCTTCATTTTATCAATGTCTGATTTCCATTCACATGTCAAGTACCACTACAGAAGAAACAGAAAGCCGTATGACTGAGTAAAAGTGTGTTACTTTGATGGAATGTTAATTTGGTTTTCCTTGCTGATATTCATGTATTTTTTGGACAAGTAAATATTGTATGGATTTATCATATACAACATGACATTTTGAAATATGAATACATTGTGGCATGCCTCCGTGAAACTAATTAACACATGCATTACCTTGAATATTCATCATTTTTTTAAACTTTTATTTAATGCATATAATTTTCCAAAGTACGACTTATGGATTACAATGGCTTCCCCCCCATACCGTCCCTCCCACCCACAACCCTCCCCTTTCCCACTCCCTCTCCCCTTCCATTCACATCAAGATTCATTTTCGATTATCTTAATATACAGAAGATCAGCTTAGTATACATTAAGTATGGATTTCAACAGTTTGCTCCCACACAGAAACATAAAGTGAAAAATAATAGATGATTTTTTTTAAATGATGATGAAATCAGATCAGACCTATTGTCATGTTTAATCCCAGTGAGAGTCAAGTTGGGAATTGATAATTTCTTTTTTTTTTTTTAACAGAGGATCAGTTTAGTATGCATTAAGTAAGGATTTCAACAGTTTGCACCCCCATAGAAACACAAAGTGAAATATATTGTTTGAGTACTCGTTATAGCATTAAATCTCAATGCACAGCACATTAAGGATAGAGATCCTACATGAGGAGTAAGTGCACAGTGACTCCTGTTGTTGACTTTACCAATTGACACTCCTGTCTATGGCATCAGTAATCTCCCTATGCTCCAGTCATGAGTTTCCAAGGCTATGGAAGCCCTCTGAGTTCTCCGACTCTTATCTTGTTTAGACAAGGTCATAGTCAAAGTGGAGGTTCTCTCCTCCCTTCAGAGAAAGGTACCTCCTTCTTTGATGACCTGTTCTTTCCACTGGGATCTCACTCGCAGAGATCTTTTGCCAGAGTGTCTTGGCTTTCCATGCCTGAAATACTCTCATGAGCTTTTCAGCCAGCTCCGAATGCCTTTAGGGCTGATTCTGAGGCCAGAGTGCTATTTAGGACATCTGCCATTCTATGAGTCTGCTGAGTATCTCACTTCCCATGTTGGATCACTCTCCCCTTTATTTACTCCATCGGTTAGCGTTAGCAGTTACTAGACTTGTCTATGTGTTCCTTTGACTCCCAGTCCCTTCACCATGACCAACTGTGAACTGAAACTGATCACCTGGAACAGTGAGATGGCATTGGTACATGCCACCTCGATGGGATTGAATTGGAATCCCCTGGTATGCTTCCAACTCCACCACTTGGGGCAAGTCAGCCTGAGCATGTCCCAAATTATACATCTCTTCCCTCTCCCATTCCCACCACCATGTTCAACAGGGATCACATTTTAGTTAATTTTCAACACTT